TTCCTTGACAGTGGCATTCCTGTTTGAGGTGCAGTGACATTTAAGGGCCCGGAGATCACGAGCATCCACTAGAGTTTTACGGCCTTGACCCTTACGCACAGCGATTGTTCCAGATTCTCTGAATCTTTTGATGATGTTATGCACGGTTGATGATGATAACTTAAAAGTCTTTGCTATTTTACGCTGGGTAACACCATTCTGGTATTGGTGCACTATCTTTCTGCACAACAATGGTGGAATCGGTGATCCTCTTACCATCTTGGCTTCTGAGAGACACTGACACTCTGAGAAGCTCTTTTTATACCCAATCATGTTGTCAATTGACCTAATTAGTGTTAATTGGTCTTCCAGCTGTTCATTATATGCTCAATTTCCTTTTTCCAGCCACTTATTGCTACTTGTCCCAACTTTTTTGGGATTTGTTGACACTGTGAAATTTTGAATCAACAAATTTTTCCTTTAAAATGTTACATTAACTCAGATTAAACTTTTGATCTGTCATCTATGTTATATTACGAATAAAATATTGACATTTGCCATCTCCACATCATTGCATTCAGTTTTTATTCACAATTTGTTTAGTGTCCCAACTTTTTTGGAATCCGGTTTGTACTATGTTTTAAGTTTTTCTTAGTTAATTTCTTAGATCTTATTACTGTTTTTCTTTTATATTTTAATACTTTTGTTGGATGTAACTGGGACCCTGTGTACACAATTAAAAACCTTGAATCCTTGCTGGTCACATGGCCTCAGGGAGGGATTATAGGTAAACTGTATGTTCATTGTTAATCATTTTGGTTAGCTGTTTAGCATTGTTCTTTTAGTGATTAGTTTGTTCTTGTTTTCCTAGCTTATGTGTTCATTATGTGTTAGTTTGTGTTAGGCCATTCTGTAGAGTAACCATGCGTGAGGGAGGTAGTTGTTATGAAGACCTATGGGGTTTACTCTGTCTGCATGTGTCACGAGGACCCAACTAGGGCTGAGTACCGAACCGAGGTTCTTAAATGGCAACGACCGAACTGCACCGGTCGATGTATGGATTGAAACGTCACTGTTTTTTTCAGTGTCAAGTTTCGGTATTGGCTGTAAGTAAGTAAGTAAGTAAAACTTTATTTATATAGCGCTTCTCAAGATAAAAATCACAAAACGCTTTAACAAATCAGATAAACAAAAGCAAAAAACAAATTCAGGCAAAAGCAGATTTAAAAAGATAAGTTTTTAGCTGACTTTTAAAAGAAATTACCGAGTCCAGTGATCGGAGAGTTTGAGGAAGAGAGTTCCAAAGTCTTGGAGCCATGGAAGAAAAGGCTCTATCTCCTTTAGTTTTCAATTTTGTCTGGGGGACAGTCAGCAGGCCTTGATCACAGGATCTCAAGGCCCTGTAAGGTGTCACGTGGTTTCAGCATGCAGGCAGGTAAAACACCAGACATGTGACAAACAGACTACGTGTTTACACCCAGAGCTGTATAGAGCTGCTGCACCTATTCTATGTATAATGTATGTCTATGGTGCTGGTGACGCCCACAGATGGGGTTCACGTGTGCAGCGCGTGTTGTCGAACGGCTCTGACAACACATGAGCAGAAAGTTGCTCTGTGTTTCTCTGCAAGAAGAGAGACGAACAGCAGCCTCCCTCCTCCTCTCAGCGTTAGTCAGTCTGTGTGTGTGTTAAACTGAATCAACATTCCACGACCGGACTCGTCTTCATCAAAGAACTCCCGAGGACAGCTCTGTGTCTGTGTTTCAACTGGTGGGTTTACGTTTGTTATTGTTACTGCAGCTTAACGCGTACATCGCGGTGAAATAACGCTAACTTTAAGATATTAGTGTGTAAATTTATTTTATCCACGTAGCTAGCTAAACTCAGAATCTAACTAAAGATTGACAGTAACAGAAGAAGCTTAGCTTGTAAAAATGTGCTCATCCATCCAGTCAGCAGGTTAAACAGTTCACCTAATGTTCACTGTTTATGTTAATGTTCTCCTCACAGGAGGTTCTGACCCAGATGTGAGGACAGACAGAAAAGCGAGGTGGGGGTGCCACAGGACAGTAGCTATGTTTACATGCGCAGAATTCTTTGACCGGATTGAAATGTGTTCTGTTTGAATAATTCAAATGTGTTGTTTACATGGGCACAATCTGTTCATGACGAGCATTTGCATGCAGCGGGCTTTGTTCTGAACAGCAGTACTGACATGCGCAGAGTGGTAAACTCTCCTTAAAAAAAAACACCGAAGAAGAAGTTCTACTTCCGGGTGAACGTAAACAAATCTGAGCACCCAAAATGGACCCGCGACAGGTTTTAATGATGTTGGAGACGTTACTGCGCTCCCTGACTGAGCTACAGGTGATACAGGTCATTTTGAGCTCTTTCAAAGTTTCTAGTAGAAATGTTGTGTCGCTCACCGACCAGTTTTGCTTCTCTGACATGCTAATATTATTAGCATTAGCCAGGCAGAAATGGCAAACATACGCTTTAAGGTCAGTTTTTCACGATCAGATAAAAACGAACAGATCAAGCGTTTACATGCGCACCGATCGGGTTACGGATCGGCGTAAACCACCCGTTTCGTTCTGATCACAAATTATATCGGATCGCGCCGAATACACAAAAAATAACCCGAACGGAGTGTTTACATGACACACTTTTATTCCGACCGGCCATTTGATCCGGTTACTTATGTCCATGTAAACATACCCAGTCACAGACTGTTGTTAAAAGTTTGCTGCTTTTTCTACAGTGGAGCTGCACGGTAGAGGTAAGTTAAGCTGTAAAGGATGTTGTTGACCAGTTAAGCTTTAATCTCTCAGCCTAGATAATGATCAATAATAACACAACCATGTTATTGTTGATTTTGTGTTCTCATGTCAATTAGGGAGATGATCAGAGCCCTAAACCCCAGAGAACCACAGAGAAGATTCAGGAAGAGACAAAGAGGTGCAGAAGTCTGCATCAACTATACCTCATTGAATCCAGTGACCTGCTGGTGGAATGTGAGGGACAATATGTCAAACTGACAACCAGGTATCTGTGTGTGCAACAATCATCATCTACAGCCTCAGAGTGAACATGTTCTACTGCTGGAGACACCATCAGCCAGGAGCATCTTGTTTGTGTCCAGAGAAAACAGACATGTTGATGTTTCTGAATAAAAACTGTTCAGTGAAAAGGTCCTCAGTGTGCAGCAGTGAACATTAGACACTGACGTGTCACTGGTTTGTAACTGGTCTTTTGACTGTAAACTATTTGTTTATTTTAATGCAAGAAAACTGCTTGGAATAAAAATACCAAAGTTAAAAAATAAAACTCACAATTTGTACTGTAATGTGTAACGTAATTTTATTCTTGTTAGAATTAATAGTAATTACAAAATTGGTACCGAAAAAAGAACCGTCCAGGAACCGACACCGAAGTGAAGATACCGACACCGGTACCAATACTGATTTTTTTTTTAAAGGTACCCAGCCCTAGACCCAACCACCAAGAGAGACGTGTATTGGGCAGCTATGTGAGCGCTCAGGTGTGACAAAGCCAAATGTTTTTGGTGGCAGGAAACTCGTTAGCCCGTCAAAAAAAAAAATAAATAAATAAAATCCATAAATTAGCTGCAACATTGTATAATGCCATGATTATGGATGGCATTATACGCTGCCTGGCCAAAAAAAAAAAAGTTGCCACCTGGATTTAACTAAGCAAATAGGTACAAGGCTTCTATTGGATAATTACTGCATGGGGGATTGTCTTTCAGCTGCAACAAGTTATTTAACCCCAACTGGTGCAATGAGTTGCATCTCATTTCATTGCATGGTCGTGGAAAAGATGTCAGTCTGTTTGAGAAGGGTCAAATCATTGGCATGCATCAAGAAGAGGAAACATCCAAGGAGATTGCAGAAACTACTAAAACTGGGTTAAGAACTGTCCAACGCATTATTAAAAACTGGAAGGATAGTGGGGACCCATCGTCTTCAAGGAAGAAATGTGGCCAGAAAAAAATCCTGAATGATCAGTGATCACTTAAACGTTTGGTGAAATCAAATCAAAGAAAAACAACAGTAGCACTCAGGGCTTTGTTTAATAGTGAAAGTAAGAACATTTCCACATGCACAATGTGAAGGGAACTCAAGGGACTGGGACTGAACAGCTGTGTAGCCTTAAGAAAACCACTAATCAGTGAGGCTAACTAGAAAAAATGCTTCATTTTGCTAGGGAACATAAAGATTGGACTCTGGAGCAATGGAAGAAGGTCATGTGGTCTGATGAGTCCAGATTTACCCTGTTCCAGAGTGATGGGTGCATCAGGGTAAGAAGAGAGGCAGGTGAAGTGATGCACCATCATGCCTGGTGACTAGTCATCAGTGCAAGATCTTAGTAAAAAAAATAATGCAACACTGGATGGAAATAATCTTGTGACATTGCAGAAGCTTATCGAAACAATGACACAGAGAATGCATGATGTGATCAAAGCTAAAGGCAGTCCGATGAAATATTAGTGTGTGACCTTTTTTTTGATGGCAACTTTTTTTTTGGCCAGGCAGTGCATAACGTCATGAGGTTCAAAGCCTGTGAAAAAAGTTGCAGCTTATAGACCGGAAAGTACGGGGTGTGTGTGTGTGTGCGTGTGTGTGTGTGTGTATATATATATATATGTGTATATATATGTGTGTCTCCAATGTCTGCAAGGGCAACAATCACCCTCTGTTGCCATAGTGATTTAGCAATGCTCAAAGAAAACAAAAAACAGACTTTCAATTCAATGTGGCCAGCACAGCTAAAGTTTTCTCTTCATAGCCCTACGCATGTCAGTTTACTTGTTTATGTCAGAAACAGGCCACACTGTTCGGAAAACCAGTATTACAAGCTCGCACTACTGGTTTTTATTGTCTGTCTTAGCGCCAAGTAACACTTGCAGAATTTGGTGTGTTCTAAAGTGGTACTTGTTGCTTCCATGTACAAGTTCATCTAAACAAAGAACATTCACTATTTGAGAGCCAAGTTTTTACCTTGAATGAGGGCTTTGAGGTAGACGTGTTTTCCAATAGGCACATGAATGACAGTCCCTTGTGGACATTGCAGTCTAAAAAGTTGGGTGTTATGATTCACCTCAGTTTTAGAAACTAGTGTACAATCCCGATAATAGAGAGCTGTAAGAAAAACATAAGAGCAGGATTATTTGGTAACCAGTGGGGATGCAGCTTGGTTTAACTGAAACCAATAAACTCCAGTTTGTCAATGAAATTGAAATGCAAATATAAAATGCAATGCAGAAATTGTTAAGACATCTTTTAGCTTCAACATGCAGCTTGATATTATGTTATATAAGAGAACACATGTAGTACTATCCAGTGATATACATAAATTGACAAACCCCTGATGCCTAATCTCACCTCTGTCCTTTTTGAATAGAAACGTATTGTGGAACTCCAAAGGTTGACCAAGACTTTTCCATTTTTCTTTATTCCGTTTGTACATGGTGACCTGGATCTTTCCCACAGAGGAAGCAGTGTGCACTAAGGATGACAAAAGCAACTAAATATAATAAAATAATAACAATAATAATAAATACAAGTGCATACTTTTTTAAAAACAACAGCAGAAACACTAACATTCTGTCCAAAGGTCTAGTCATCACACTGAGGTAGAGCAATGTGTTTAAAAGTGCTGGTCAATTTATACCTGTAACAAATTGTACATCCGCTTTTTAACCAGCAGTTGTCATTTCATACAAAATGAATACCATTTTATACACATCAAATTACATTTTGTCATAAAAGGTAAATGGACTGTACATACTGGTATATAGCATCTAATCTAGATACTCAAAGCTCTTTACAACACACCCTGTGCTCTCATTTAGCCACTCATACAGCACTCTACTACATCTTTACAAAGTTACAGTAATCGGATTCTGTAGAGACTAATCAGTGCTTTAGATCACATTCATACACCAATGGGACACACACTGAAGGTAATGAGTGATAGAAATGTGAAAGATCACAGATGTTTTTCCCCTACTAAAGTCAAACGTTATAACTCGTATTACCATGTGTGTGTTAACAAGTGTTTTGTCTGGACAGAGTGGAGGCAGAGGCATGGAGCCTTTCACCTCTAAACTCAAGTCAAAGAGGCTGCAGGAGTTGTCTGATAACATTATAAAAAGACTTTTAGGTTCTTGGTGAACAGACTTGCAGATGAAGCGTCAAACATCTTGCCTGCTTGTATTTCAACCTCTGTTCCATCTTGCAAGATTAAACATGGGATTAAGAAAACTATCTACCTCTCCTGTGTGGCATATTTATTTAATGCGCTACCAGGATAATATTAAATTATCCTAACATTTTGGTCCTCCGAGAGCCACCCTCAACATCTCAAGAGCTGAAATCATGCACGAGGGGAGACCAGGTCTCCCTTTTTGAAAGTCGTCTGGTTTGAATTGCTTGAGGTCAGATTGCTTACTGACGGATCTGAGACAGTGACGAGGGAACGAACGAACACAGCAGGAGGAGTAAGATTATGTTTATTATCATTTTTGGAGGATCTGGGATCCTAAATATTGTTGATTGGATGTTGTAGGATTTGTGATCCTATCGTGTTTTGATTCAACATGTTCATTATTTTAGGGAGACTGGGGGTCTCGAGTGAAGTTAGGCCTATTTGTTTTTGGTTGTTTGACACGGAGGGACTGCCGACCAGGCAGCCGTTGTTTGCACACTGAATTTTACCAGAGGCTTTAGGGAACCCCACTGTATTTTGTCTAGGCAGAGGGGAGAACAGCTGCAGAACGAGAAAATAAATAGTGGACTGCTCTTCCAAGGCCAGACGAGCAGAGAGGTGTCTGATTTGGTGTGTTGAAGAAAAAAAACTGATCTAAATTAGTCTTAGAGTGAAAATGTAAAAATAGAACAAGCCCTACTGGTTTGAAATAACTTTTGATATTAATTCCTGGGGTGATAATTGGTAAACTTGTAAAAAAATTTAAAAAAGCATTTGTTGAGCAGGAAATCTCATTCTGAGGGGTAAATAAATAAATGAATACATAAGAAAAATAAAATACTCAAATGAAACCTTGCTGATAAAAGATAACTTTCAAAACAAATATCAAATTATGAATGGATGTGGATTTTCTTCTTTTTTTTTTTTTGATCAGGCGAGTAGGGTTGCCACCTTTCAGAAATTAAAATAAGGGACGCCCACCACGGCTCCGCTGGACTATGACTGCAACGGGCCTGACACGTGGGGTGGGTGCACCCAGCAGTGCTATGTTTTATTTTGTGCCAGTGTTTTTAGTACAGGGGTGATCAAGAAAGCAAGTAGTCATATTTAAAGCTTGAAATGCTTTATTAATAATGAACACATTCTCTTATAAAGTGCAATTAATTAAATCTTAAATGAAATCGGTCTGTGTGGAGTGTGCAACAATAAATGTTTAAAATATAAACTAAATAAATTGAGAACTTCAACTAACTTTTTAAGTGCGTAACTATAGGGACTCTCTTTGAACCATGGGGACATTTTTTCAGAGGAAGAAACAAACAAAAAATTGTAAACTCATCTGCTTATTCAATTAGAAAAAAAGTGCAACTTGTTACTCTTTCCCTCAACAGAGTTAGGTTCTTCAGAAACCGTTACATTTTTCCAGGTGTACTTCTTGTTCCTCCTTGCAGCACTGTACTGCAGCACATATGTCTTTCAAAGCGCTGTTGTAAATCTCTGAACAGAACTCTCAAAGTTGAGAGTGATCAGGAGCTCACTCATGAGCTCCATGGAGCATCTGTTCCTGCAGTCACTCCATTTGTTGGCCATTCTGGAAAATATCCTTTCCACATATCCAGTGGATGCTGGGATGCTCAAGATGTGGCTGATGATAGACAGCATGATAGGCAGGTCATCTTCTTGAAGGAGAACCACCCACCTGGCAGCCACAGCTTTGGACTTCTATTCATCTTCAGCATCTTCTTTGAGCCTCTTCAGAATTGGCTTTGCTGTGGAGCATTCATCATAAAGTTCATCCATGTTGACTTTATGCATGAGATTGAGCTTGGTGCTCACTCTTTCAATGTCACTAAAAGTCAAGGTGCCATGGTGCAGAGAGAGAGGTTGCAGTGAGAAAAGCCAACTGTCTTCTGAAAAGTTCAACCATTTCTCCACATGAGAGTGCTGTGTTGAGAAATGCAGTGAAATCTGCTCTTGCCATGACTGCATCATGTGGACAGAGATGCTGCAGCTTCACTTTAGGTAAGTAGCCATAGAACTGGTCATCTCGTGTCTGTGTGAGCTTTTTCTTGAAGTTATCCATAATAGAATATAACTCAACACAAGTGGTTTCATCACTCTCCGGCTTCTTTACAACTTCCTCAAAGAGAGAGAGGATATTATTGCAGAAGAGAAGTTAAACCTCCACAATGTCTCCATCTTCCTCAGTTGAGTCCTCACTAAGCTTTAAGAAAGCTGGAAGTTGTTTGGGACACTCCTCCCCCAGGCTGATGAAGTAAGATTCCAATGCAGTCCAGGTTTGCAATAGCTGAGTGATGGCTGGATGAAGGGAGAGACACCTGTTTGTGACAAAACTCTGAGTGATTTTCTTCATTTGGCAGATGTGGAAAAGAAGCCATAGACCTTCAGCACAACATTTTCCACATGGTGAGCTGGTCAAGAGCATGCTTCACTGTGTTGTGCACAATGTGTGCATGGCAGTTTCCTTGCAGCAGTTTTTTTTTTTTGTTCCTTCTTCAAGTTGGTGAAGACCGAGTTGTGAATTCTGTATTTCACATTTGTGTTGTCTGCACTGAATGCCATCACTTGACTGAATAATAAACCAAATGTATCAAGTGCTGCTTTTCTTATGACTTGAAAGGAAGTCAGGTCATCCAAACAGTTAAACCACACTAATAACAGAATTTATAATTATAATAATAATAATAATTTATTTGTATAGCACCTTTCAAACAAATGTTACAAAGTGCTTCACATTAATCGATTCAAACATCATAAACACAAAAGTATACCTTTTTTTTATTCTTCTTCTTTTGGCTGCTCCCTGCGTTGGGGGTCGCCACAGTGAACTAAGTCGCACGAAGACTTGGCAGTTATTTTTACACCAGATGTTCTTCCTGATGCAACCGCAGACCACCGAGCTACCACAGCCTCTGAGTGGAGCAGAGAGCTGCAGATGGTGGGGGTTAAAGGCCTTGCTCAAGGGCCCAGAGTGGGACGAATAAGGGTGGGAGCAGGTGTGGGTGCTTCACCTACCCCACCCACATTTTTGATGTTGACGGTACCGGGGCTTGAACCGGCAATCTTCCGATCACAGGCCCACCTTCTCTAACCTCTGTTCCACCACTCCCCTCACACAAAAATACACCAAATCAATTAAAATAGATAACAACATAAAAAATAAAGAAATTCAAATACTAAAAGTCTTATTAAATAAG